TCCCCTTGAAAGCCTTTCAATCCTCCCTAGCACTTGCACAGCAGACTCTTGGAAATGACCTGAACTGCAGGTGCAAACCAGGGAGAGAGTCAGGCAAACACCTGAACCACCTTGAAAAGGGAGTACCCAGCCTTGTTGGTGTCCCTGGCTGCTGACCTTCCCTCCCAAGTTTTCAAAGGTCCATCCATTCAATGGAATGTATTTTGCTACATTTCTGTTGATGGGTTTTTTGGCCTCAGCTCACCAGTCCTTTTTGACAAAATGGTACCAAAGGAGTTAAAGGTAACATTCCTTTCTTGTGCCTCCTTATCAAGCTCATGAGATAAGAAGACCAGAAGTGTCTGTACGGGGTAAAACAAGGGCAAAATGTATTATGGTGGCTATCCAGCAGGCTATGCAACAGCCCTCAAACTTTGACACTGCAAGAGTGTCACCCCTCACTGCCCCTATTCCTGGGGGGCTAGGGAGGGGGAATAGGTAGGTACTTTCAAGAGCTGGAGGTCATGCACCTTGTTTACAAAGGTTTCTCTTTCTTTATTCGTGAAAGCTAGCATAGCTTTTTGTTCCTTTTCCAGCTAATGGATTTTGTGGCACTTCACTTGGTTAATCAGTTAGCGGTGATTAAACAGGGGAAACATGAACGACAGCCTGAGTAACGTCATCCTTTTTTCTGCACAGTGGAAAGGAGTGGTTTGCCAGAGAAACCTCTTGCGAAATAACTGAGAATTGATCTTTAAGCACAGAATCTACTATGCTTTAAAATCCCCTTGTGGGTACTCACTTCCTCCATGGGCTGAAGTGGAGTTGTTGAAGAGCTTACCATTCCCAGACCGTTCCCAGTCACCAGCATGGCTGTCTTCTGCCAAAGGTTACCCCCTCCCCTGTCTGCCTATAAGCTGCTCACTCAATCCCTCCCAAAACTGTTTTGGCCAAAGTCAACCAGAGCAGCTTAAGCAGTTTAAATAGTAGAAGTCAGTTGCACTGGTTTGTTTTGGCTATACTGGATTAAGGGAAACCCAAGATGGGAAGTGAGTTGATGACATTTTCATGGACAGCTTCAGGGGCAGGGGGTAGTTTGGTGTCATGGTTTGAGATAGCCCCAAAATCCAATCCCCTAGTCTAAGCCCCCTCCCACATCTCAACCCAATGTGAGATGGGTTTTTTCCAGACAAAA